ATATGCATAATGGGGATGGCAAAACGGAGATGGGAAAAACGAGTGCCATCGCTAAGTGCAACGATAAAGAAGTGAACCCAATCAAATTTGACATCGTTCAACAGGACGTGAAACAAACGAATATCGTCCTTGTTGACAACGCCATGGTTCGAATCACGGGGCAACAAAACATATGAGAAGATGTATTGTTGGACGCGTTGAATTAAAGTGAGATTAATGACACTCGGGTTGCTAGAGTTTCTAAACTTGAGGTCACGATGATCCAACCCGAGTTGTCGCCAAATTGCCTCATCTTGGAATGTTTCATCCAAGTTTTCAGTAATTTCACCGCGACGAAGGCCAAACAAGGAAGTTAAACCGGCACCGTCAATGAAAACGGTTTTGCCGTCAACATAGGAAATGAGAGATGGCGAACCTCCCTTAGTGGTACGAAGATTTGCATAAAATTGACGTATAAGATTTGGACAGAAAAATTCATACGTCAAATGAATGAAACGAAGCAAACCTTGCTGAAGAAACATAGACTTACTCGGAGCATAGGTCGCAGATTTGAAGAGGTCCTTGTTCACGATCTTGGGAGAGACGATCTCCTTCGTGAGGAAGATGTTGTGGAACCTCTCGACGGAAGCTCCAGTGTGAAAGGTAACCATGCAAGGATAGGCAGCGGAATATAAAAATTTTAACATCCTAACATGATTATCTTGCCCAGAATCACGTACTAAAACTTATAGTAGTAAGAAATTTGTACCTTTCTCCGTAAGCGGTAAAAACGAAGAAGTCGTAGGAAGAGCGTTGAAAGTGCAAATGTAACCGTTCAAGCGTCCGGTCTCCAACTTTGACACACGAACAACGCCAGAGTCTACCACAATCTTTATGCTAGTAAAGATTATAGTAGTATAAAATATAAAGATTAAATTGGGATAATAATAATCTTGTATATTTCTATAGAAAATATTTCTAATAATATTTAGAAAATATTATAGATATTTTCTATACATAAAATGATATTAATGGAACCAAAATAATATTTTTCTCTCTCTTAAAATGGTATGGCCGAATCATGAAATCTCACTTAGCAAAATGGAGTGAATTGTTTAAATAAAACAAAGATGCTCCATTATTTGGTCATTAGCTAAATGACAAAATTAATTAGTCCACTAATTTATCAATCAAGCAAAACATTAGCAATTTGTCAATCCATTTTATCATATGGCCGAAAGTTTTGATTTGAGAAGGATATTTAAAATCCTTCTCCACTTAAATGTTCAAAGTGTATTTTATTTGACACCAAAAATTAATATAAAATTAATTTTAAATCAAATAAAAATACCAATATCATTTTTAAACAAGTATACAAATATACTTTAAATAGTTTATGTCAAAATAATTATTTTCATAATTAAAATGACAAATCAAAATAAAATATTCA